TTGGCTGACAGCCCAAATGATACCAAATGCATGTTCAATGTTCTCTATGGAATGAGTTAGTGATCTACACGCATTTTGTAATGGATAGATGGCCACACCAGAAGACCAGCCTTATAAGTAGCACTGACTTGGCACCCACACCAGCTGTCGCAGGAGAGAGAAAAAAGATGGCAAAATCAGACAGAGTGAATGTCCCAATCATGACTAAAGATAGTTCATCGTGTCCTTCTGACAGATCCTGACTTGCAAACAAAGAATAGCTCTAGTCTAGTTCTGTCCGGTTCATACGTTTTACTGACACACATTTGCATGTGCAGTATTGTAAAAGTGTTTTCTCTGTGTGATGCTTTTTGTTTTCTAGGAGACTAGCTAAATCCACGCTACTTCTGATCCCGCTCTTTGGAGTACACTATATCGTATTTGCTTTTTTCCCAGAAAGCACTGGATTGGAAGCTAGACTTTATATGGAGCTAGGCTTGGGCTCCTTTCAGGTATGACAAAGGAAGTATTAATAATATTCGCCACTTTTATCAGCCCTCCCTAGCGTGACTGAGCATCTTATTTGGTGTCATAAGAAGATAAGCAAATGGATTAGAGAGCCGCATGAAACTCCTTCCAGACAACAGTAATAATAGAAGTTTAGGAGAAATACCTAAAAAATATGGTGGAATAATACCAGCCATTATCCTTTACTAATAATGCATCCACCTATTATTGTCAGTGTTTATATTTCATGCTTCTGGTTAGACCAGCAGCTATTTCTAAATGCTTAAGAAGCAACTTTGGACAGGACTGCTTGCTCCATCCTCTCTTCTTGCTAAATAGGTCCAGGTTTTCCTTGAGAAGTTGACCTTGCTGTTTTTATTGCTTGGAGACTGTCTGACTCTCATGAGCTCATGATAGAGATTATCTTTAAATCTGGAAGCTGAATCTCAAAGTAGAAGGAGGTATCTTGTGGGGTTCCCCAGGAGCCCGTCGTGGGTTGAGTACTGTTCAACATCTTCAGTAACGTTGTGGAGAACAGAGTTGAGGGTGCACTTGGGGAATTTGTAGATGATGCCATGGTGGGTGTGGTAGCAGGCCCCTTAAAGAATAGGGTTAAGATTCAAGGTGACCTTGGGAAATGTAGGAAAATGGTCTGAAATGAATTGGATGAGATTCAGTAAGA